AGAGCTCCACCTCATACCTAGCAAACCAAACCACCAACAATAACAACAATCAACAAAAACCAAGTCAATGGAAAAACGGAAGAAATTTTTGCAATTTTTTATTAGAGGTAAAAGTCTAATACAAAATATTTTTGCAAATCAGATGACCAAGACACCAGCAGTGAAAAGGATATGAACATATAGTTCACAGAAAACGAAACACAACAGCTCTTACGTGAAAAGTTGCAGAGATTCCTTTAAAAAAAAAAATTGGTAAAACACATATAATGTAAAATTTACCTTCTTAACCAACTTTAAGTGTACAGTTCAGTGGTGTTGAGTACATTCACATTATTGTGTCACCATCACCACCATCCAGCCATAGAACTCTTTTTATATAAACCCAGTAAACAAACAATCCTCACATTCTCTCCCCTCCCAGTTCCTGACAATCACCATTCTACTTTCTCTATGAATCTGACTATGATGTCATTTAAGTATGAAGACAGTATTTGTCCTTTTGTGTCTGGCTTGTTTCAGTTAGAATGTCCTCAGTGTTCACCCATGCTATAGCACATGTCACAATTTCCTTCCTTTTTTAGGCTGAATAACATCCCATTGTATGTATATACCACGTTTTATCCATTCACCCGCTGATGGGCACTCGGGTTGCTCCCATCTTTTGGCTATTGCAAATAATGCTGCTATGAACATGGGTGTACAAATATCTCTTTAAGTCCCGCTTTCAATTCTTTTAGTTATATACCCAGAAGTGAAGTTGTTGGATTGTAAGATAAAATTCTGTTTTTCATTTTTTGAGGAACCACCGGAACATTTTCCACAGTGGCTTTACCATTTTACATTCCCAACAACGGTGCACAAGGGTTCGTTTCTCCACATCCCTGCCAACACTTATTTTCTCAGAGCTTCACTGTTAGTAAAAGAAATGCAAATTAAAGCCATGCTGAGATATCATTTTTCACCTATCAGATTGGCAAAGATCAAAAAGCTTGACAGCTATCTTGGCAAGAGTGTGGGGAAGAAAGATTCTTGCACACTGCCAGTGTGACTGAAATCTGTACAGCCTCTATGAAGAGCAGCTTGGTAATATCCTCTAATTACACATACACCATTTGAACTAGCAATTTCTTTTTTTATTTAAATATTTTTCAATTACAGTTGACATTCAATATTATATTAATTTCAGGTGTACAGCATAGTGGTTAAACATTTATATAACTTTTGAAGTTATCCCCCTTATAAGTCTGGTAGCCACCTGGCACCACACATAGTTATTACAATATTATTAACTGTATTCCCTGTGCTGTACTTTAAATCCCCATGACTATTTCGTAACTGCCAATTTATACTTCTTAATTTCCTCATCTCCCTTCCTTGTCCACTGAGAAGGCCTGAGAGCAGTGACACCCATTAGCAACAAGCAGGCTGAGGTTTTTTTTTTTTTGTAGTGAGGTGAAATTTACATAACATTAATATTTTAAGCATACAATTCAGTGTTTTGTAACCAGTCCCTTTAGTCCCAAAACATTTTCTTCATTCCCAGAAGAAAACCCTGTATCCATTAAGCAATCACTCCCCATCTCCCCACCCCAGCCCCTAGCAACCACTGTTTTCTGTCTCTATGGATTTACCTATTCTAGATATATAAACGAAATCATACATATATGGTCTTTCGTGTCTTGACTTCTTTCACTTAGCATGTTTTCAAGGTTCATCCATGTGGTAGCGTGTATTAGTATTTCATTCTTTTTATGGCTCAATAATATTACATTGTATGGATATACTATATTTTGTTTATCTAGTATATCAATTTTTAAAAGTTCTAAGAAGAAAATAAACCTATCTACCTTTGTTTAATGATTCTGCACCCTCTCTGCAGCAACACTTTTTAACATCCTATAGAAGCACTCTTTGGAAAATACTGCACAAGACATTTGCCAATGGCAATGGTCAGGCGTAAGTGAAGAGGGGCCACTTAATGATGAAGCACACTTAATAGCTCTCCCCAAAGTGTTCGCTGTTTGGTTATGCTTTCAAGTCTGTGTTTTAATTTTTAAAAACCACACCGGCTGTTTCATTTTCTCTTTGGAAGTTCCAGCAGGAGAGTTTAATGTCCTCTCCCCATTGTCTTCATCCAGTTCCCATCTTTTCGCCAGTCTCCCTGTAGTAAATGCTATTGGTGACATCCCTTTAAGGGATGGTACACCCATTCTCCAGCTGTTGTGTTGGCTGCTAATGGCTCACAGCTTCACCCTTCTGTGGAGAATTCTTCTCAGTCCATGAGCTGCTTTGCCCAGAGATGCCTGGGAAATTATGCTCCTCCCTCCCCACCCCCCAGTGGCCCACAGCCCATGAATGACTGAAGTGGGGTACAAAGTCTAGCTCCCTGGCTTCTAAGAGGGATAAACCCTGTGGTGCATTTAATGTTTCAGAGCTCACTGTAGGATCATACTGAGGCTAGACTTAGCTGAACCTACATCTTCGCTTGGCTTCTTCACATGCCATATCCTGCTTCCCTCATTGCCCTAATCAATCATTTGCACAAGAATCCCTGTCTCAGGCTCTGCATCTGGGGCACCCAGCTTAAGATATCTCCATGGGCAGTCCTGGATTCCTGAGGGACATCCTGCTATCAGCAGCAGCCACACATCTCATGCAGGGCCCTGCAGATTGCCCCTCCTCTAGGAAGCCTTCTGGTACCTGTACTCTCCACTCACTGCCATGTTTGTTTACTAATAAGGAAGTTTGATACCTACTCTATCCAGGCACTGTGCTAACCCTTTTATGTGCATTAGCTCCTTGAATCCTCCAACAACCTGATGAGGTAAATACTATTGTAGCCTTACAGATGAAATGAAGGCTCAAAGGGGTTGAGTGGCTCACTCACAAAGAAAGTGATGGGAATTTGGATTTGTCTGATTTCACACCCTTGTATTTAACCACTAGATTCTACCCTGTATTAACAACATCAGAATATTTTTTTTTATGGCTCTGTCTACCCTAGACAGCAGAGAGCTATGTGTTTTTGTGCCTGCTGCTGACAGATTGCACTGAGGGTTTCACCTTATTAAAAACCCTCCTTAAATATCCTTGCTTCTTAGGCTAAGAAGTGCGAGTGGCCTTGCAACCACCCCCACTCCTCCAGTATGCCTGCTCTAGGAGGCAGGGTGAAGCCCTTCGCCTCATTGTTTTCCTTGAGCTCCCACCTAAGCTGCAGCTGCAGGCATCCCTGCCTCCCACTCTGCTGCAGAATGGGGATCTGCATTGATGAGAACAGCAGCAGCGGGAGGCAGCTCATCACTTCCCTGGAGGCCTCCTGGGTTCACAGAAGGAAGAGCAGGCACTGAAGTGTGGGAAGGAGGATGAGACCTGGGCCAAGCGAAGAAAGGAGAATGACTCTAGTGGGAGAAGACTTTGAGGAAAGGAGAGAGATTTAGGGGAGGAGGTGGGGTCGTGGGAGCTGAGCAGAGGACTGCTCTTTATTCATTGATTCGACAGATTTTTTTCACCACCTATAATGTCCTAGGCACTGTTCTAGTGACCGAGGATACAACAGTGGACAAACCGAAGACCCTGCTTTAATGGATCAGCACGGAAATAACAATAAAAATAATCATGATAGGTTAAACAGAAAATCTTTACAGCTCAAAGCTTTTGTGACAGGGTTTAGTGAGTCATTGCTAGTCCAAAAAAGGACCACACCCTGGGACATATAGTCTAAACCACTAGAAGCAGGGCTGGCTGAAGAACATACCCGCAGTCCCAGAGCTGGGAGGGGGGAGAAGTCTCCCTTATGCAATGAGTTTGGAGAAGAAAGATGTAAATTGTTTTGAAAAAATTTATGTTGGCTATAGATAATGGAATGGGGCGGGAGGCGAAAGGGACTGTTCTAGGATAGGTGCATAGTCAGTAAGGAAGAAACATTTCCAACTTCTGGATGGGTTGTGGGCAACAAGCCAGAAAGCTCATGCATAATAAGCAGGATAGAGTCTGGTGGTTTGCTATTTTTTTTTTTTAGATCGGCACCTGTAAGTTGATTGAAAGTTTTCACACACGTTCAGGAATGTGAGCAGTCTTTTGTTGGTTTTGGCCTGCAGGCGGTTAATTGATTAACCACTTACCTCTTCCTCCCACCCTCCAGACTGCTGTGATTTAATTTAGGACATCTCAGAATTTTTCTCTTTTTCAAATGGTTAGTATTTTTCGAGCATTTACTATGGAGTCAAGCATTTTATCTTATCCTCATGACAATCTCAGGCATTTGGTACTATTACTACCCCATTTTAGAGATTGTGTCAAGGAGACACAGAGTAACCAATTGACTGGCCCAGATTACACAGAGTTAGAGTAGGACCTTATCTCCTTTGAGAGTAAAGGCAGGGCCTGTCCGGCTCCCTATTAAGGACAGTAGATTTGGAAAGTATGTTCTTGTAAGAAAAATTCAAACAATACAGATAAAGCTTAAGTTCTTGCCTCTCCCCATTCCTAGCTGTCTCTGCCCCATGTACTCCCTTCCAATCCTGTTCCTATGCATGCTAGGTGTGCATATGCATTATTTTTGACATGAATGGCTTCCCCTATGTTCTACAACTTGCTTTTCCCTTAACAAGATGTATTGAACACCATTTCCTCCTGTACATACATACACTTCTACCTGATTCTAACTACTGAATACTACTCCATTGCATGGATGTGCTTAGTTTATTTCTTCTCAGTACCCTAGAGAGTATTTCCAATTTTTCGCTATTACAAACAAGGCTGCTATACACAACTTTTCCAAAAAGCCGCGGTTCCCCTTCGCACTGCAGAATTAGAACCTTTCTTCCGGAAGGACCTACGTGCTGAACCTCTCCTCCGCCCCAGAAAGCACTGTTAATTGCCAATCCAACTGTAGACGCTCGTGCAACATGTATGATCCTTGCCCCCACCACCTCCACCGCCCCCACCTTCCCCCGCCTAGGATTTTTTTCTCTAGAGAAAAACAGCTGCCCCAGTTCTCGACCCGGGGGTTTAAACAAACCCAAAGCCTGAAACCTCGAGTTCCGGAAAAAAAAGCCTGTATCTTTAAGAGGTATTGGTTCCTTTGGGAGTTGTAGTTTTGCTGGCCCAGGGAGCCGCCTACTCGCCTCACCTTACTTCTGATTCTGAAGACACAGCCCTTTCGGAAAGCGATGCCCTGACCGTATCTGCTTGCCTACCCTCACCATATGCGCTCGCCCTCCGGACCGCCGGAAGCTGGGGTTTTGGAGAGAACAAACCAGGGCGGGCAGAGGAGTGAAAGTACATTTCCCAGGGTGCGCTGCGAAAGGACGCGCAGCACCACATTAAAGAGCCCGCCAAGCCTAGCACCCGGCGGACGCAGGTACTTGTGTCTGGGAGGTCGCCCCTTCCTATTCCTCGTGAGTCACCCTTGCCCTTTCCTGGTCTGTCCTCTCCAAGGGGCAAGAAGGAGGCAAGAGTTTCAGGTGACTGTGCTGGCGCCCCCAGAGTGCCCTGTGGCCGTAGGGGGCGTCTGCAGGTTCTGTTACTCCTTTGGGTCTTTCAGTGGGAGTTTCGGGATCTGGGAACGCTGGGGACAGGGAGGGGGGATAAGGGCCCCAGGGGCTCTTCACTAAAGAGTAGATGGGGCGCTGGATGCTGGAGGCTACTGACTTTGCTTTGAGGCCCCTTCTGCCTCAGTTCGCCCTATGGGGTCTCCTTATTATGCACAAATCTCAATTACGGTAGTTCCCCCCTTTATCTGATGTTTTGCCTTCCACGGTTTCAATTACTTGAAGTCAGCAGTCTGAAAATATTAAACGACGTGTATTTTAAATTATGAGAAGTTCGGAGTAGCTTAATGTAATCTTCCCCCATCCTGTTCCTTCCTGCCTGGGGTGTATTCCATCCCTTTGTCCCACTTATCCAGGCTGTATATGGTACTAGCTGGCTAGTCACTTAGTAGCCTTCTTGGTTGTCAGATCAACTGTCAGGTATGGCAGTGCTTATGTTCAAGTAACCCTTATTTTACTTAATAATGGCCCCAAAGTGCAAGAGTAGTAATGCCGGTGATTCGGATATGCCGAAGAGAAGCCATAAAGTGTTTCTTTTAAATGAAAAGGTGAAAGTTCTTGACTTAATAAGGAAAGAAAAAAAATCATATGCTGAGGTATCTAAGATCTATGGTAAGAATGAATCTTCTATCCGTGAAATTGTGAAGAAGGAAAAAGAAATTCATGCTAGTTTTGCTGTCACACCTCAAACTGCAAAAGTTACCGCAATAGTGCGGGATAAATGCTTGATTAAGATAGGGAAGCTATTCGTGGGTAGAAGACATGAGCAGAAAATGTGTTCCAATTGATGGCCATGTGTTGCACCAGAAAGCATTGAGCCTGTATGAAGACTTCAGCAACGGACCCCTGAAACGAGTGATACCAAGCCATTTACTGCAAGTAAGAGATGGTTACACAGATTCGGGAACAGATGTGGATTGAAAAACATAAAAATTACTGGAGAGGCGGTGTCTGCTGATGAAGAAGCTGCTGCCACATTTCTGCAGAGTTAAAGAAGTCGATTAAGGAGAAAGGATACCATCCAAAGCAAGTCTTAATAGGTATGTATGTATGTATAGGAGAAAGCATAATATGTATAAGGTTCTGTACTATCTGATGTTTCAGGCATCCACTGGTATTCTTGGAGTATCCCCCATGGATAAGGGGGGATTATTGTACTTGCCTCTTGCATAATTTACAATGTGATTTTATTCCTAGTCAACTTTCTTCTGCCTTTTTCTTTTCAAAAGGCAAATCAGATCCCTCCATGTGCCCCCTTTTTTTTGCTTTAAAGCTCTAAAATGCAAAGTCCCTGTCTTACCTTTCTTCAAAAAGCATATCCAAAGAGGCCTTATTATTTTATTTATTTGCTTGTTTGTTTGTCTGGTTTTTTTTATTAGTATCCCTGGATGGGCCCGAAAAGGCCTTATTATTTTATGCTGTTCCTGGCTCCCCTTCCCTATCCCAATTTTGGGCAGCATGTGACTGAGGACATTAAATAATATTTCAATTTGGCCTCAGTATTAAAAGTGGGCAGAATGTTGGAATAGAAGTCTATTTTCTGAGTTTTCTGTACAGATGTCAAGTATGATAGGGCAGAGACTCCAAGTGAGGTGCCTTATTCCTACAGGATAGTTAAGAACATGAACCTTAGACTTGGAAACACCTGGCAGTACTAGCTGTATATGACCTTGGGCAGATTATTTCATATCTTTAAGCTACAGTTTCTTTATCTATACTGTGAGTGTGATAAGATCCAACTCATATAGAGGACTATTGAGTGTATAATATGAGCTGATACTACAATGCCTTTGGTGTGGTGCCTGAAAAAAGCACTCCCTAAGTGTTAGCTATGAGTATCATTCCACCTTTTATGTTATCATAAAATACCTTTTTGACTGATCTAGCATGCTCCTCAGCCTTGCTTGCTTCACTAAGGCTTTCCCTGATTTTTCCTTCTTCTGGGACGTCTTTGACCAGGAGAATATTTCAGAGCTTTCATTTCTACTAGATTCAGGAACAAGTTAAACTCTTCTGGTGTCTTCCTACTGGAGAGAAGTACCGTTTATTGAGCTTCTACTGTCTGCCATGTATTTGATGTTTTGTTTAATACTGACAGCAGTCCTAGGCCTGTTGGCCCTAGTTTTCAGATTAGGAAACTGAGGCTTAGAGAGGTTAAGTAACCTGTTTTAGGATCACACAGAAAGAGGCAGACATGGGTACAGAGCCCTGGGGGCTGATTCCCAGCCCAGAACTGTTCCTCTGCCCTAGCCTGTAGTAGGGTGCAGTCCAGATAGGGCTGCCCTCCCACCTCTGGCCATGACCTCACCTGCCCATTTTTCCCAGTCACTATGCAGAGACTAAGACTGGGGTCAGACCTTTGGACTCTCCTTGGTCTTTTTCGTCACCTTTGCATGGGACCAAGCACCGTTATCACCATTACCTGAATAAGAATCGGAGAGACCCAGGTCCCAGTCATGGCTGCAGCATCTACAAGCATCTGTAAAGTGGACAGAATACTTACCCTGCAGGGGTATTGTGAGAATGAAAAACTCATCTGTGGGCCAGAGTGGGTGAGCTCCCTCTTAGTGGCCGTTATCATTAATGTCATTCTCGTTTCATTGTCACCTTGTTTTGAGCACTTTATATATATTTACTCCTTTTGTCCTTTTTTAAATCCTACAAAATTGGTTCAGTGTAGTGGTTAAGAGAATGGACTCTGGAACAAAAGGGTCTGCCATTTGCTAGCTGTGTGACCTTGGGCATGTGACTTTAATCTCTGTGACTCAGTTTCTTTATCATCTATTCTATAGAGTAAAGATAGTACTTCCCGCACATTAAGTTAGAGGTTCTTACAGTGATTTTTCCTTTGAAAGTGCCAAGAGGGAGAGGATATTGTACTCCCCATGTTGGTTTGAATTCTTGGAGAAGAGACTAAGATGGGATTAGATTTATTGGGGGAGGTAGCTGGAGAAGGCAGGGAGGGCTGTTAGTCTGCTCCCTGTGAAGGAGCACGGGAAGGAAGGAAGGGAGGAGGGAGGGATGGGTGGAAAGAGTCTCAGACCGCAGTGTCCTTCTAAGACAGTTTCTGTTGGGTCTGTGGGGAGTCCTGGAGAAAAAGATGGCCCGTCTTGGCTCCAGGACTCCCCATCTTGCAGGAATCAGTCTGTCTCGTTCCTGAATGTTTGGTTGGGAGCAGTTGATGGGAAACATGGCTTCCATGTAAACAAGCTGGGGGTATCTTGTTATACTTCCTGCTGCAGGACGCCCAAGACGGTTAGTGGTGCCAAAGATCACACAGTGAGCTCGTGGCCAGGCTGGAATCCCTCCATCTGGGCATCCTGGGAAATGCCTTTGCCCTCAGGTGCCTGGCCAAGATCTCTAGTTCAGATTTACACTCTGGATTACCCTCCTGGGCTGAGCGGGGAGCAGAGCAGTTTCTATTGGTGGAGGCTTTCCCTGAAAGCTCACGGGAGCGTGAGTGTTGCTAAGTTGTGTTGTCTGTCAACCTTAACCATTGGCTTGGTGGCAGTAGAGTCTGGCATAAGAAGAGACTTGCTGAGGTTCAGGGTTCCTGCTGGCTCTGGCTGGGGCGTAGGCTGACTGCTGGACATGCATTCCAGGTGCCTCTGGGGTGGCATGCAGCTAGCTCCCGCATTTCTCCTGACACTGAGCTTTGGGGCTGGAGGGAAGAGGTGGGTGTGGGCTGCTTCGTGGTACTGCAGCCGTGACCCTGCCAGAGGTGGATGCCAGGGCACTCCTGGGGACTTGTCTGCTGAGGTACTGGGGAGGCCAGGGGCTCAAGAGTCAGACTGGTTTCTCCTCTGGTAGGAGAGAAGTGTTGTGGGGCATAGGAAGGTGTGAAGCCATTGCTTTGGCCTCACTTTCCCCTCGCTCAGGATGCCCTGGAGGAAGATGGCTGACAGGTGGGTTTGCAGCCTTCTTTAGGCTTGGAGCCCCTGGGAGGGGAGGTCCCCTCTGAGGCCCCTGTAGTGGGCGCTGTTGGTGCTCTGCCCAGATCCCCTTGAATAGGCTGGTGCACCCCTCCCAGAGATGCCCCCTTCTCCATGAAATTGCCGTCAGCCTCAGGAGCCTGGGAGGCTAGACTGTCCCTCCCCCAGCTCACGGTCAGTGACTGAATGATGAAGGGCCGGTGGTACAGAAAAGGGCAGCCCCTCGCTTTACGGTGGGACCCACTGTCTACCACCGCCCCTCACTGCCAGCTCCCGCTCCCCTTACTTCTTCTCCTGAGAAAATCATATGCACCTAGATTGAGAAATTCAAAGATACACTCATCACATGACCCAGCAATCCCCTACTGGGGTAACCGCCTGGAGAGATGAAGTCTTGTGTTCGTACTAAACCTGCACACAAATGTTTATAGCAGGTCTATTCATGATTGCCAAAACCTGTAAACAGCCCAGATGTCCTTCAGTGAGTGGATAGAGAAACAGACTGTGGAAGATCCATGCAATAGAATACTGCTTGGCAAAAAAAACCAAAAAAACCCCAAAACAACTACTGATATGCTCAGCCAACTTGGATGAATCTCAGAGGCATTATGTTGGATGAAAGAAGCCAATTGTAGGAGATGCCATTCCAACTCTAGTTATGGAGCGCTGATTGATGGTTGTCAGAGGTGAGGGGTGGAGGAGGGCGTGACTCTAAAAGGGTAGCATGTGGGAGTTTTTTTTGGTGCAGGTATCTATAATGTGTTAAAATTCAGAAAACTATACAAAAAAATCAATTTTAGAGTATCTATAATTGTGTTATAGATACAATCTATATATGTGTTAAATCTATGTATGTGTTAAAATTCAGAAAACTATACAAAAAAATCAATTTTAGAGTATGATAATTTTAAAAATCACATATGCCCCTATCTCTTCAGGAAGCCTATCAACTTTGGCCAGAATGGAGCAGCCCAAGGGGGTGGATTGGACAGTTGTCATCCTGACGTGCCAATACAAGGACAGCGTTGAGGTCTTCCAGAGAGGTAGGGAACCCTCTGCCCTCACCCTGCCCTGATGTGGAACCCTCACCATACATACCCCTACAGCCCCAGGAACCAGGCAGACCTGGGCTCAAACCCAGAGTTTGCTTCTTCCCAGCCATGTGACCTTAGACGCATCACGTCACTTTATTGAGACTCATTTTTTTCCTCTATAAAGTGGGAATGATTATACTTACCCCACAAAGTTGGGCAAAAATCTAACAAGCTATACTACGTGACATACTCCTGGTTCAAAGACGATAAAATAATGATTATTGGTAGATTTGCTTTAGGCGCTTGGGACTAGGGCCGGGCGGCTCGGGGGGCAGGTGCCAGCTGCGTTCTGACCGCAGAGCTGGAAGTGCGTCAGAAGCGAGAGCAGATCCCTGCCGGAACGCTGTTACTGGCCGTGGAGGACCCCGAGACTTGTGTGGGCAGTGGAGGAGCCACCCTCAATGCCCTGCTGGTGGCCGCCGAACACCTGAGCGCCCGGGCAGGCTTCACAGTGAGTGCATCTGCCGTTCCTTTGGTGCCTGAGTGGATTTGTGTTGGGGTGCCATCCTTGGGCGCCTCTTGCCCCGGCCTCTGTCAACAGGGCTCTTCCACTCTCAATAGGTGGTCACATCTGATGTCCTGCACTCAGCCTGGATCCTCATCCTGCACATGGTTAGTAGAACATTGGGCAGGGCGCCAGGCAGAAGGCCGCCACCGTTGATTCTTGGGGTTGGATGGGACTTGAGGGCTTTTCTGCCTGTGCGCGGGTGCAAGGTGTTCGTTGTGCAAACCCAGAAGAATCGGAATCCCACTCTCAATAGGTGGTCACATCTGATGTCCTGCACTCAGCCTGGATCCTCATCCTGCACATGGTTAGTAGAACATTGGGCAGGGCGCCAGGCAGAAGGCCGCCACCGTTGATTCTTGGGGTTGGATGGGACTTGAGGGCTTTTCTGCCTGTGCGCGGGTGCAAGGTGTTCGTTGTGCAAACCCAGAAGAATCAGAACTGATCTAAGTGTCCAGAAATAGGGAACTGGCTACATTATAAGCAGCACATCCTCCCGGCGGAATACTAAGACGGCAGCGAACTGGTTGGTCTAGCTCGGTGCATTGATCGGGAAGAGACTGGCCAGCTCTGTGACCTCACGCAAGTCACGTGACTCTTTCTAGGCCTCAGTTTCCTCGCCTGTGAAATGGCAGCAGTTTCTGCTTTGTGTAGATGTGCTGAGATGACCCAGTGAATGCTTAAAATGGGGTCTGGCTTTGTATAGTTCCCAATCTTATTTCTTATTTCCCCAGTTTTAACGTGTGTGTGTGTATTCTGGTGTCTCTACCTTTTCAGAATCTCATTTTTGTAAAAACAAAAAAAGACTATATGAATATAAGTCTGAAAGGATATATCTCAGAATGAGGGCAATGGTTACTATTCTTGAGGGACTGTTTTTCTTTTGGCATATGTGCATTTTCCAACTTGATACTATAATCATGTAACTGAAAAAAATTACATGAGAAAATCACTTTTAAAAATCCCTCTAACTTGCTGACTTTCCACCTTCGTACAGCCAGCCGGGTGTCCCCAGGCTCTCTGCCCCAAGGGTTCTCTTGCCTGTCCCTGCTTCTCCTCCAGGGCCGAGACTTCCCCTTCGATGACTGTGGCCGGGCCTTCACCTGCCTCCCTGTGGAGAACCCCCGGGCCCCTGTGGAGGCCACGGTCTGCAACCTGGACTGCTTGCTGGACGTCATGAGCTATCGGGTGAGGCCAGCGGCTCCCCTGGGGCCTTGTCCCTCTCTCGCTGCACCACCAGCTACAGTCTGTGTAGCTCAGACGGGATGCCAGGAAGAGAGGCTTGGTGTACTCAGAGTTAGGTAGAGCTTTAGAAAGTTAGTGTTGGCCACACTCAGGGATGGTGTGGGCCCAGGAGATGGGTAGGAGAGTCTGGGGAGCACTGGGACAGGCCAAGACTGGGCTGTGTGGGAGCAGAGGAAGCCCTGGGCCAGGCCACCAGCTGCACTTTCTCTCCTACAGCTGGGCCCAGGCTGCCCACCAGGTGTGTGGGTCTGCAGCACCGATATGCGGCTGTCTGTTCCTCTCGACCCAGGTGAGCCTGAGAAGGCTTGGGATTGCCTTCTCTTGTCATAGCCAGAGGTGGGCTGTGCCTTTCCTTGCCCGCCACCTCTGGGCCTGGCTCACTGCTCTACTGAGGAGGGAAGCTATAAGTTATGGAGGATGAAGTCCAAACTCAGAGGCAGGGCTTCTCCGGCAGGGCCTCTGCCGGCCAGTCTATGAAATGGGCGTACCCAGCCCTGCGTCTTCTGGCTCATGCGGCTGTGGGAAAACTTTGGGAGGGGAGGTCATTCTCCCAGAGGAATGTCTCTTTGGCTTGGAAACCATATTTTCTTTTTAGAGGTGCCAAGATGCCCTTGCACTGAGCTCTTGCCTCTCCCTGGCTGGGGACTGTTTGCCTTGGGTTGGGGGCCCTGGGGAGCCTCCTGACTGACCCACCCACAGGGATCAGCTGGGACGGCTTCCGGGGAGCGAGAGTGATCGCCTTGCCAGGGAGCACAGCCTACGCCCGGAACCATGGCGTCTACCTCACCGACCCCCAGGTAGTCAGTCCCCTGTGGTGGCAGCGTCACGGGCAGCTGAGCCAGCCCAGGGTGGCCTCCCATTCCTGCGCTCTGGGCAGCCTCTGGTCCTGGACTTCCTGTCGTGGTCTGGATTTGGAGGAGTTTCCCCCGTGGCAACAGCTTTTTTGCTCACTTAGTCTTTTGTCAAATTCAAATGGCACATGGACCCTACGCCAGGCTCTGTTCTTGCACTGGGGCTGTGAAGACCTTCAGAGCCCGCCCTTTTTTATTGTCAGGGGTGCAACGGTGCTCCCCAGAGGGCCTGCTGGTACCTGTCAGACATGTATCCTAGGTTTTTGTTTGGAGAGCACCCTCGTTGTGCCCCCATTCCTGGTCCTCCCTTCCTCCCTTCCCTTCCTCTGTCGTCCGCCCCCATGCAGGGTCTCGTTTTGGACATTTACTACCAGGGCACCGAGGCGGAGATACGACGGTGTGCCAGGCCTGACGGGCGGGTGCCACTGGTATGGCTGCCACCTGGCTGGGGGCTTTGGGGGCCCCGTGGGAAAGGAGCAGAGCCCCCCTCCTTCTAGAAGATTCTGGGAGCAGGATAGAACTAGAATCTGATGTGGTCTGGAACTGGCATTTAGAGGAGCAGGCAGAACCAGAATCTGAAGAAGGGTCTTGTCCTGAACTGCAAAGGCTCAAGCCAGAATGTGAGCAAGTTCAGGAGTGCAGCCGGGAAGAAGTCTAGAACCTGACTCGGGACATGGGTAGGAGTGGTAGGTAAGGGTCTGGGACCAGACCATGGGGAAGATGGAGAACTAGGTTTGGGAAGAGGTCTGAAAATTGAGGAGTGTCCCAGAAAGTGCCTGTTGAAGGGTCCCTTGGTGGGAGCCACCCCCAATAAGCCTGGAGCCTGGGTGCTGGAGTGGCCCAAACCATGAAGAACCCTGCTTGGTATGGTGGCCAGCCTTGCTTGGCCCATCTGCATGTGTCCTCCCCAACTCTGGCCCAAGCCTGGCCCCAGGGTCCCCACACCTGACCCTCATGGGGGCTCTTCCAGGTCTCTGGGGTCACCTTCTTCTCTGTGGAGACTGCTGAGCATCTCCTGGCCACTCACGTGAGCCCACCCCTGGACGCCTGCACCTACATGGGCTTGGATTCTGGAGCCCAGCCTGTCCAGGTGATGGGAGGTGGGGATGGAGGCTGGGGGTCCATAGCCTGGGGGCAAGCCCTTGACACTGGTGACCTGGCTCTGCGACCTCAGGCTAGCCCCTCCCCTCTCTGAGTCAGCATCTCTGGGGATAGGACTGCTGCAGTTTGGCCTAGGAGCCCCCCAATAGCTGTGCTTCCTACTCTTGCCCCAGCTGTCTCTATTTTTCGACATCCTGCTGTGCATGGCCCGGAATGTGAGCAGGGAGGACTTCCTGGCGGGGCAGCCCCCGGAGATCAGGCAAGGCAACACAGACGTCGCAGGTTATCTGCAGGGTGCCCGGGCCAAGCTGTGGAGGGAGCTTCGTGATCAGCCCCTCACCATGGGTGGGTATCGTCTTTCGGCTCTCCAAGGTGGGGAGACCATGGGAGTGAGGACCCCCAGAATGAGGCTGCCACCTGCCTGGCCCCTGGGCTCCTGGACCAGGCTGGCCTAGTGCATGTACCAGAGCCCTCCCTCCTCCACCCCCAAGATAACCCTCTTCCTTTCTTCCTTTTGTCTCATTCCTTGGCTCCAGTTGCCGTCTTTCCACTTTCTAGCCGTGTGACTTTAGGCAGGTTGCTGAACCTCTCTGGATCTCAGCTTCCCCATTGGCACAATGAGCTCATCACCGTGCCCATCCTCCCAGCTTCTGATGATGTGTCTTTTGGTAGAAGGCCTGGCCTGGCATCAGAGATGCAGCAGGCATAGGGTTGGGGTTAGTGCTTGTTATCTTTACAGCATATATCCCGGATGGCAGCTACAGCTACATGACCAGCTCGGCCAGTGAGTTCCTGCACAGCCTTACGTCCCCTGGGGCTCCTGGGCCTCAGGTCGTGTACTCCCAGGTGGAGGTAAGACCTTCTTGGAGGTAAGGCCAGCAGAGGTGCCTTCTGGGTTCTTGAGAACAGGTGGGATAGGGTCTCCTGGGAAGGGGAGGAATAGCCCATGCTTGAAACAGATTACCTATGAATGTGGGTCTTATTATCCCCATTTCATACATGAGGCACTGGTGGCTCAGAGAGGTTAAAAAACTCGCCTAAAGTCGTAGAGCTAGTAAGTGGCCAAGTCAGGATTCTACATCCACGTCTGCCTAATTGAGAAGCTAGAGAAGACCTCCCTCATCCCATTCTTGGGGTCTGCTTTGAGTTGATGGGCCTGGGTCAGTGCCATGGTGCTGAGGAAAGGGACAGATAGAGTTCAGAAGTGGCCCTCAGGGGACGGGGGTCAGGGTACCTGGCTTGTGGCAGAAGTTTTCTAGGGGAGCTGTCATCTGGGGGACCTCCATCGCTGATTTCAGGTTTGCTCTGGAGGAGAAGGCAGAGAGTGTGCCTCTGCAGGAACATCATGAACAGGGCGGAATGGGAGTCTGCCTGAGGCTCAGGCCAGGGCGGGTGCAGAGGAGTCAGGCTGGCTGACGGCCTTGGGTCTTGGCTGTGGAGGAGGATCAGGGCAGCCCCCGGCTCTGGGCCCTCACGACCTCTCTGGCTTCACAGGAGCTGCAGCTTCTGGAGGCTGGGAGCTCTGTGATCAGCTGCCTGCTGGAGGGCCCTGTCCACCTGGGTCCTGGGAGTGTCCTACAGCACTGCCACCTTCAGGTGAGATCTGAGAGCAGGGGCAGGGCTAGGTCCAGGTTGTGGGGGCCAGGTCCTATGTGTGTTGGGGGTTGCCTGTGCTGTCCACTTCAGATGCCTGCTCTCTCCCCTGCTAGGGTCCCATTCACATCGGCGCTGGCTGCTTCGTGAGTGGCCTGGACACAACCCAGTCCAAGGCACTGCACGGCCTGGAGCTGCGTGACGTTGTCCTGCAGGGACACCACATGCGGCTGCACGGCAACCCCAGCCGTGTCTTCACCCTCTTTGGCTGTCTGGACAGCTGGGAAGTAGGTGCCTGCTTTACCTTCTCTCATCTTCAGGCTTTGGGGACCCAGGGGTCCCACTCTCCTGTTCCACTGGAGGGATAGGCTTGAGGAGGGTGTGGCCAGTAGAGACTCACCATCCCTTTACCTCCCTCCTCATCTACTCTGACAGGCAGGCTGCTGGGGATTTCTATCCGCATTTTACGGGTTAGAGACCCGCCTTGGGCTGCAGAGCCAGTTTTGGTAGATCGGACCTAGAACCAGGATTCTGTACCAAGTTGCATACACCTAGGCAGGGCCGCTAAGGCTCCAGGGCTTGACACGGTGTATCAGAATTTGCTGGCACATGTGCAAGTCTCTCTCCTGTCGCCTCTTGAATAGCTCCTGGCCTTCTGGCCTTAGTATCCCTAGCCTCTTCCTGCGGCCTCTGCAGCCCTGACTGTTTACTCTTCATCCCCCAGAGACAGGGGACAGGAACATATCTCAACATGTCCTGGAGTGAATTCTTCCAGAAGACAGGCATTCGGTGAGATCGATGGCCGTAATGGGCCTCTGTGGGCCTCGGCAGCCAGGGCAGCCTTCCCTAGGCTCATCCCCGCCCTGGCCCCAGAGTGCCACCTGCCCTCCCACCAGCCCACGGGGACTGAGATACCTTCGGGCAGCCTGATCCTCCCCAGTACCTTACCCTTGGTCAACTCCTAATCCATGGCTATGCTCAGGCTTTGAGATTTTGTTCAGAGGCTTGGGAAAGGAAGCAGTTCACCTCCTTCCCTGAATTGCCCCTTTTTGTCTCCTCTAGAGGAGTTTGTCCTGCCCCGTGAATTAGCCAGCCCCCAGCTGACAGATGGTCAGGCCTTGATGAGGAAGCAGGAGCCCTTGCTTGCCTCTTGCTGATGGTCCTTCTCCCCACATCAGAAACTGGGACCTGTGGGACCCAGACACGCCCCCTGCAGAGCGTCACCTTCTCAGTGCCCGCCTCTTTCCTGTGCTTCACCCCTCGAGGGCCCTGGGGCCCCGGGACATGCTGTGGATGCTAGACCCCCATGAGGATGGGGGCAAGGCCCTGTGGGCCTGGCGGGCCTCTTGGCGACTGTCCTGGGAGCAGTTGCAGCCACGCCTGGATCGGGCCGCCACGCTGGCCTCCCGCCGGGACTTGTTCTTCCGCCAGGCCCTGCGTAAGGCTCGGCACGTGCTGCAGGACCAGCAGGACCTCAGCCTGCGCCCGCTGATCAGGGCCGCTGTCAGCGAGGGCTGTGCTGGGCCCCTGCTGGCCACGCTGGACCAAGGTGAGTGTGCTGAGAAGCAAGACCCAGGGTTACCTGCCCTGCTTGTCTTCTGGGTTGATGACCTGTGGGTACTAGGGAGCCATGAGACTTCAAAGCAGCATTGAGACAGTGGAATTTACTTTTAGGTTTCTAGGAAGCTTCATCCTTGTCAGTAGGGGGTTTGATGAGAGGCTGAGGCCTGGGGCTGAGCTTCTGGGTCCTGGGAGCCTCAGCTAACCCTATGTGTTCTGTACTGGGTGCTGAGACATAGGTGAAGAGCTCCAGAGCCCCAGGGGAATGTGGCTGGCTCTACCTGAGGGCTCAGGCACACTGGCCGGGGATCAAGCAGTACCTCATTAATGGTCCCAATAACTGGAAAATGATCCCCATTTAAGTTGCTCACCTATAGCTGGTTGGGCGTGGGGCTGAGACTGAACCTAGGTGGTTTGACCCCGCAGTGTGAACTGTTAACCATTCTGGGCATCCTGGATCGGGGTGAAAAAGCACAGCCGGGCTGGGGCTGGGGCTGGCAGGATGAGAAGAACTTGGCCGGGCAGAGAAGTGGGGTGTGCACTCACAGGCACGGATGCATCTTGGGTGAAAGTGAAGAGGTGTGAGGCATCTGGAGTGTTTGGGCATCGTTGAATATTCTCTGGGGGCAGGGGGCATTGGGAGTGGATCATTTCCCCAGTCACCTCTGATTCCTGGTCCCTCAGTTGCTGCTGGCACAGGAGACCCTGGTGTGGCAGCCCGGGCACTGGCCTGTGTGGCAGACGTGCTGGGCTGCTGGGCAGAGGGCCGAGGTGGTTTACGGAGTGGGCCAGCTGCCAACCCTGACTGGATTCGGCCCTTCTCATACCTGGAATGTGGAGACCTGGCGGGGGGTGTGGAGGCACTTGCCCAGGAGCGGGACAAGTGGCTTAGCAGGTGGGCACTAATGATGTCAGAACCCATGGAAAAGCACCTGGTCATCCTTGGAGGTGGAAACCCGGAGAGAGGTGGGGCAGTCACTCCGGTCAGTCAGATCCCAAGACCCAGGCAGTCCACCCTCAGCTTAGTACCTACTCTATGCCACCATCTCTCCCTTCCTTCGTGGCAGGCCAGCCTTGCTAGTGCGAGCCGCCCGCCACTACGAGGGGGCTGGACAAATCTTGATCCGCCAGGCTGTGATGTCGGCCCAGCACTTTGTCTCCACGGAGCCAGTGGAGCCGCCAGCACCTGGGCAGTGGGTGGTGGCTGAGTGCCCGGCTCGTGTGGATTTCTCTGGTGAGCCCTTTGTGCGAGTGGGGGTGAGCGTAGCTATCCCTGGGCTGCGTTGGCAGCCCCTGTGACCAGCTTGGTCTTGTTGAACTGCCGCAGGTGGCTGGAGCGACACGCCACCCCTTGCCTACGAGCTTGGTGGGGCAGTGGTGGGCATGGCTGTACGAGTAGATGGCCGCCGGCCAATTGGGGCCAGGGCACGCCGCATCTTGGAGCCCACTCTGTGGCTGGCGATGGGGCCAAGGCAGGACGAGATGGCCATGAAGATAGTGTGCCAGAGCCTGGATGACCTGCAGGATTACTGCCAGCCCCATGCTCCAGGTCAGGGCACCCAGGACATCTGCCAGTGGGGATGGCACACACAGCCAGCTGGGGGTGGGGACAGAACTTTGGGGACCCTGCTGGCCATGGGAGCCTGGCCTGAGGACGAGCCAGTCTGGTTGAGGAGCATGTAGGTGCAGGAAGTAGAGCTGACACATTTCTCATGTTGGGGAGCCCAGGCCTTTTTGTGACTTGGGGATGGGGCCTGCACTGCTGCTGGGCTTTTGTCCCCCAAATGAGCCCCATGCTGGGATGGGATGTACTGGAGTTGGGGTGGTATCTTCTTCTGCTGTTGGAAACCAAATGAGGGAGCTTGCTGGTACTGATCCCTCTGCAGGAGCCCTGCTCAAGGCTGCCTTCATTTGTGCGGGGATCGTGAGTGTCCATTCCAAGCTCTCGCTGAGGGAGCAGCTGCTGCACACCTTTGGGGGCGGCTTTGAGCTGCACACCTGGTCTGAGCTGCCCCATGGTTCTGGCCTTGGTAAGTGGGCCCTGTCCCCCTGCTACCAACCACTCTGCCCCAGCCCTCCAGCCTCACCTTCGATCCTCCTCCCTGCCTTTAACCGGCAGAGAGAGCGGGTGGGGCAGGACTAGGCTGGGCAGAGCTGTTTCATGCTTGGCACCATCCTACCTGCTCTGCAGGGACCAGCAGCATCCTGGCGGGCACTGCCCTGGCTGCCTTGCAGCGGGCTGCAGGCCGGATGGTGGGCACAGAGGCCCTGATCCATGCAGTGCTGCACCTGGAGCAGGTGCTCACCACAGGTATGGGACTGCCCCTGGTGGGAGGGAGGTCACTGGCACTTTCCCAAGGGCCTCCAGAGGCTCCCCTGGGCTTATAGCCAGATACTGTGCTGCTCCTTCACATGGTTAGAGCTTCCTGTTTATCACTGACCTTCTCTAGTGGTTTTCAACTTGAAATATTTCTACCTTTAGGAGTACCTACTGAATGCCAGAGTCTGTGCTACATGGTTCATGTGTGTTAGGTTTAAAGGTTTATTCCTTAACTTTGTTGCCTTCTAGGGCTGTCCCTCAGGGAGGGGCTGGGCAGAACTGGGTTTGGAGTAGGGGACAGGACCTTCAGCCTGCTCTTCCAACCGGCTTACTCCTCCCTTGGGCTATGGTCATTTGTGCCCACCTCCCTTCTCCCATGCTAGCCATGTGGGTGGGGCACTGAGGGCTTAGAACATGGCTGTGATCCTAACGGAATGGTACTAGCCCCAAGCTTCTCCCTCCTTTTGCCAGTGTGGCCCCCTGGAATCCATGCACAATAGGGAGCAGCCAGAGGTTTGTCTGGCCCGATCCTGGGGTGCTCTGGTCACCTCAGGATGCCAGGCCTCATCGTGACTCTGGGAAGGAGACCGTCACAGAGATGTACAGATGCCGATTATGCTATCTTTTCTGGTCACTTTGCAGCCCAGCCTCCTCCTATCATTGTAATGACTCACATCTCATTATAGGTAGTCGTTAGCAAGAGGGGCAGATGGGGAGGTCTGCACCATTCAAATCCTTCATTCGGTCAACTGACCACTATTTATTGAGTATCTACTGAGTTTGGGCCCTGGGGATAAAATAAGCAAAAATAAGGCCCTTGCCTTCAAAAGTCATATGGTCTGTTGGAGACAGACATTAATCAACAGCCATTCAAATGATGAATAAATATAAGCTGTGCTAGGTGCTCTGAAGGAGAGGGACACAATTAAGGAGTTTTTGACATTTGGGGCCTAACACTAACTACTGTTTTGGCTGTGAAGTTCCAGATGCCTTCTGCCATTTGCATTTTATAAATCCTTGCTGGTCTTTCCCCAAATATCAAGGGCCTATCCCAGGACCATCTCAAGTTTTGTCATTTTTATAGAGCTGCAAGAGGAAAAGAGATTCACAACTTTCATTATTAAAGCAAGATGTGAACAGGCTCTTTCATGTTTGATAGGTTTATTTCCAACATCAGCACCCTTTATCAGAAAATACAGGATGCAGGAGGCAGTTAGGCTGTAGGAAAAGTCCTACATCATTTCTCCTCGGGGGAGAGGTTAGTGCAAGGTCATACCCTTCGATGTGGTTCCACCTACACGTCAGGTCTGCAACGCAATTTGGACTTTGTGTATCCCAAGCTTGACTCTGGAGTGAAATCCTTTTCCTTGCTGGAAAGGATTCCCTTGGAGCCTGACAATGTTGGGCTCATCCTTTTCCCACGGCTGGGGGCAGAAGCTGTCCAGCTCACTTGGACTAGTTGAAGGAAGCTGTCTTCCCCATGCCAGTCCCTGTCAGGGGTGCAGGGCTGGAAGCGGGAAGTTAGGCCAGATAAGCTCCGACAGTGATGGACCCTGGGCTCCCAGGAGGTGGCTGGCAGGACCAAGTGGGTGGACTAATGCCTGGCATCAAGATTGGGCGCTCCCGGGCTCAGCTGCCACTGAAGGTGGAGGTGGAAGAGATCACCGTCCCTGAGGGCTTTGTCCAGACACTCAATGACCACCTGCTTCTGGTGTACACTGGTAAGACCCGCCTGGCTCGGAATCTGCTGCAGGTGAGCCCCACCCCAGGAGGAAGGGAGGCAGAAGGCTCAGGTGGGCCCAGACCCTCATTGCAGCCCTCCTGCCCCATCTGCAGGATGTGCTAAGGAGCTGGTATGCCAGGCTGCCTGCTGTCGTGGAGAATGCCCATGGCCTGGTGCAGCACACCAAGGAGTGCGCGGAAGCCTTCCGCCAAGGTGAGGTGCTTCCTTCCTGAGAACAAGGACACTACAAGTGAGTGCCTTGTTGCCCGTGGGTCTGAAGCCAGGGGCCTTTGCAGACTTGGCATAGGCACCAGGTATAAGGCCTCCGGGGACAGAAACCAACTGTGTCTTCTTCAGGGTCTCACACTTAGGTTGGAGCCACATCTCAGGATAATACTTGCATTATGGGGAAGAGGCTCGGGCCCCATAGCTGAGTGCCAGGGAGTCAGAGCCGAGCAGGGTTTCGAGTGGCTACACAGTTCATTTTTATTGAACACTATGCTGGGTACCATGCCAGCTGCTATGTACACATTAGCCCTAAAACAACCCCGTGAGGTGGGCTTTATCACTCCTTTTGCCAGCCATTGGTTAAGCAGTGCCTCTTGGCTCTATTCAGTCTACAGATTGGCACTGAGTGAATATCCTGGCTCAGGCACACCCTCCCCTCTCCGCCCCCACCACAGGAAGCCTACCTCTGCTGGGCAAGTGCCTGACCTTATACTGGGAGCAGAAGAAGCTCATGGCTCCAGGCTGTGAGCCTCTGGCTGTGCGGCATATGATGGATGTCCTGGCCCCCTACGTGCATGGCCAGAGCCTGGCAGGGGCAGGCGGCGGGGGCTTTCTTTATCTTTTGACCAAGGAGCCGCGGCAAAAGGAGGCTCTGGAGGCTGTGCTGGCCAAGACTGAGGTACCTGATGGTGCTGGGTATGATTGTGGTGGGTAGGAGCCTTCACTCTGGCCCCACTGGCTAACCAGGGCTTACTGCTGCAAGTCCCCCTGGCTCTGCAGCCTCAGTCCAGCTTCCAGAATGCCTGAGATTTGCCCAGAGCCCTCTAAACACCTCCTGCTCTTTGCTCCCAGGGCCTCGGGAATTACAGCATCCACCTGGTAGAAGTAGACACTTGGGGCCTGAGCCTGCAGCTGCTGGGGAGTGAGATCTCAACCTGATGCTCTTGTCCTTCTGCAAGAGGAGAAAGCCTGGAGCTATAGCAGCCCCTCCCTTTGGAGTACTCAGCCTTCTCCTCCGCAGCCACCTCTTTGTGAATCTCCTCCCAAAAGATGACCTGAGCTCGGACCCAGCCCCTGCTGGAGCTTAGTGAAGCAGAGATCATGCTTAGAAACAGGACTGTGACCTCCTGGTTGACAATGGTCTAGGCTTGGCCTTTGCTTCATCTGGACACAGGAAGGTCCTAAGCTCAGTGTCCCTGTGGCCTTTACAATTCCTATGGCCCACCTTGGGCCTTGACCGTCTCCTTTTACACGAGGGCCCTGGAAGAAGGGTCTAGCAAACAGCTGTAGCAGAGGGCTGGGGTCTCTTGGTAAGGCTGACCCCGAAGAGGCCCTTTGGGGCATTTCCTGTGGCCTTCCTTAGAGGTCAGAATTTTGCTCAATACTCACTCAAAGGTCGACTTGATGGAGGAGTTGGAGCAGGGGTGGGGGTCCACATCCACATCTATGGCAGTGAGCCAGTATGGTCCTACAGCAAGTCATTGCCAACCCAGGCCTTAACCAATAACACTATGACTGTGCCATATGACTCAGTGCCAGTGAGTAATGGGTTCTCAGGGCTGTGACCTTGGAATAAATTCACTCTGCCCTTCAAGACTGTCCTCATAAAACTCTTTTGTTCCTGCTGGCAATTCTCGCTTCCCCTGGCACTGTGGGAAACTGCCCTGGGGATGATCCAGCTTCTGGTGCTGAAGGCCAAGGAGGTGGAAGAGGGTCTAGGATCAGATGAGGGGCTGGCTATCATGCGAGTCCTGGGAGTAGCCGTGTGCCACTCGGTGTGGGAGGAGGCTGAGGCTTTAGGCTTTTGCCTTCACATTTCAGTGCAACTGGTGGACCTGTCTTGTCCGGTAGCATCCGGCCCTCCCAGGAAACAGCACACAGGCATCTCTCCAAGGACTATCTTTAATCAGGGTGATCATAAACATCACATCCTCTCCTCAGAGTAAACCTAACTCCCTAGGCCCCCAGATGCATCCAAATCTTTTGGGGCCAGCAGGGAGGCAGTCTGTTTGCTGCAGTGTCTGGGGATGAGAGCACGACCACCACGTAGAAGGCTGGCCTGCCCTGACCTTTCCACCTAATCAGGAGCCCAGGGGGACCCACCTCTCTTGGTGGGAAGAGGCTGCCCCCAAACCACCACCCAGCTAGGTCTAGGGCAAAGAGTATAGTTAGCTGAGGCCTTGTTTCCGTGCTGCCAACAGTAGAACAGTCTGGGCTGTCAGAACTCCCCCCAAGCCAGATAGCCTTGCTCAGCTCCTTGGCTCTGGCCACTTAGGGAATGGTCCTGAAGTGTGATGGGCCAGGTGGGCTCACCCTGGCAGTTACAGGCGCAGCCTCTTGATGTCCTCGCTGCGGAAGTCTATGCGCAGAGCCAGCACTTGGCGTACTTCAACAGGGGTGAGGCGCCATGTCAATGGGCCAGAGTTGGTGCCCCAGTAATCTAGGATCTCTGTCACCTGTTGGAAGAACAGACACTAAGTCAGCAAGGAGGGGGTTATCCTGAGAGAAGGCCTTAAGCTCTACTAGATTCCGAGCAGCAGTGCCCAGGACAGAAAAGGTACCCTGCAGGGCTGGGCTGATGGCAGACATGGTTTTGAGGGAGTGGCAGGGATCTAAATTTTGTCTCTGCCTCTCTTCCCAGACACCTTTTCCTGGCTAGGCCAAGGGAGCCCCACATACCCGCTCCAGATTGAGGATTGTAGCCATCTGGGAGAGCCGGGCAAACTTGTCTCTGATGGTCCAGGTGGTCACCGTGGTAAGGTAGGCAATGAGTGACCTCAGCTCCTTGTCAAACTGCAGACCACCCAGCTGTAAGGGGTCACAAACCCAGTCACTGTTCAAGGCCTGGCCCTCTGGCCAAGCAGGACTGGCCCCCAATTTCCCTCAGTGCTGGGCTACAAGGCCATCTGGACTTCCAGTGGTACCCCGTGGCTGCAGTCAGCTTCAAGGCCTCAGAAGCCAGGGCAGCACTGGGCTTAGAAAGGCAGGGCCTGGGGGTAGCAGGACTCATCTTCCTCAGAGGAGAAACAACAGAGCTGGAGACCTGTGCTCCCTTGACTTTACCCGATTGAAGGTAGATTTCAGCACCACTTTCTCCAACTCGACTGCAACAAAGCTGGTCATGAGGTTGGTCAGACTGTCGTAGATGACTGGAGACAGGCTGGCCTACACAGAGAGGCTAGACATCAGTGGGAGTCCCACCTATCCACTCTGCCTTCAGCAGTTAGAGACAGTTACATGAGGCCACTGGGGAGTGTTTGTATAGGCTGGGACTTGGAAGGGCTTTCAGGGCTCCCAGCAGGGGTGTGATGAGGAGATGTGATCTGTTGGTTTGGACAGAGGTGGGCAATTCCATAAGCTGGTCCCTAGAGCCTTTGCTCACCTTGAACTCCGCCATTTGCTGCTGCAGGTTAAGGATGAACTGTTGTACCCAAGGGTCATTGGCCTCATAGTCATTGAATTCTTCCTATTGTTAGGAAGCAAGGTGGGTCACTGGGGGCTTCTCCAGAAGCACCATGCACCCCCATCCTACTTCCACCCCTCTAAGAAAACAGGAAAAGAGGTCCTTCTTCCCCTGTAGCTTCTGACTCATTCGGCTTGGACACCCCGGCTAGCAGTAAATGCTGCTGCTTCCGCATCACACTTCCCACTGGGAAACAGCCCCGGGCGGTTGTAGCAGTGGCACCAACAACACAGTGAAGCTCCTAGCATTGTTCTCCCTCTGAATCTCATGTTCTACAGGAAGAATCCTTAGACAAAAAAAAAAAAAAGGCTATCTATGATAGGTAGGGCCAAAAAAGCCTCATTAAAAAAGAATGCGTTAGATCAGGGCAAACTCCCTTTGGATGTTTTTCTGAGCCCTTCTCCTGCAGGAACAATCTGTTTCCTGGGAGGAAGCTAGGCTGTGAGGGAGAGGGAAGTGGGTCTGAGACACATGTAAGGTCTAGTCTGTTCACACAGGACAGCTCCACTGCCCTTCAGCTAGGGGCTGGGGGAATGAAGGAAGTAATCCTGGGCTTGATGGCCCTCTGTGGTCAGGCTGACCTCCTCGATGTTGTGAGAGACAGAGAGAAAGTTGTTGATCCAAGGCTGCGCCTGGGGCTTGATTGCTGTGCTGTTTAGCTCTGCCAGCCCTTCCTGTGATGAACAAGGCAGAGACATCAGACCTAGAATGTGCACACACCCATCCCTTCCCTTTTTCCTGCTCCTTCGATCTCTTGACTGCCAGGGCATTCTTCCAGCTCTGAGGTTATCTGCAGGCCCTGTCTGAAGTATAACAGAGATAATGCTGATAAAAGAAGCAGGAACAACTGGTTCCTTTCCAGATCTGTGCAGAGTCAGGTCCAGACCAAAGATAAGGCCTTGAAGGTTGGTCTGTAAACTCAAGAGAAGAGATATGAGTGCCTGGTACTAGGCAGCACCTGTGGCTAAGGTCAGGCAACAGGTCCGAGTAACCACGTGGTTTCATTTCCTCGCAGCAGCTTTCTAAGGGCTCTTGGCACTGTGGGGACCAAGTGGAGATTCTCGACATGATGATTGCTGAAAAACCAACAGGGCCTTTCGTCTCAAGGGACTTACACAACTTTGGTGGCTTGAATGCTACCCCCTTACCTCGCCTCCCTGTTTCTTTAAACATGGAGCCCATGATAAGCTGGTAACAATCTTCTTGGAGCAACACCCAGGCACAGAATTCAGCCAGCAGCTGAACCAGGGGCTTACCTGCAAGAGGTCTCGGAATTTGTTGGACACAGCAGCCAAGTCAGAAAGGCAGCTGTCAAACTTGGCCTGGGCCTGCTCCCCTCCAATGCCCTGGCTGAACAGCTTGGTGCAGTCACTCTAGGAGAGAACACCCAGTTTTCAGGCTTCTGAGCATAGGCCATGGGGCAGAGGGGAGGGCAACATGCAATCAGCCATTTCTCCTACTGTAGCCTGCTCTGGGAGATAAGGCCAATCCTAGGCAAGAGCCCTGGGTGGGTTTCAGAAAACCTGGATTCTATCCTGGTGGCTAGCCACTTGGCTCCTACTTCCCCCTTGTAATCCAGGGGTACCAGTGCTAGGATGTAAAAAAACCACAAATACCAGACATTTTTTCACACTGTTAGAGTCAGATGTTCCTAGGTTCAAATCCTGGCTCAGCCACCTATTAGTTGAGTGACGTTAGTCAAGTGATTTAAAGTTTCTGAACTTTAAACTTGCTATCTATAAAACGGGAACACAAATTCCAGCTCCCATGGTGGTTGTGAGAGTTGGATGAAATGATGCACCAAGTGCTTAGCTCAGTGCCTGGCATGTAGTAGGCACTAAAGAGACTCTAGCTATTGTTATAGTTTCTGCTTTTTAATATTATGGTCTGGCAGCCCAAGGGAAATTATCATGGTCACAGCTACAATTTAAGTGCTTACCGTGTGCCAGGCCTTTTTCTAAGCATTTTATTTTTATTAAGTAGGTACTACTGTTGTCTGTATTGGAGCACAGAGAAATTAATAACTTACGTAAAGACACACAACAGTAAGTTGTGGAGCTGGGATTCAAGCTGGGTATTCTGGCTCCAGAGTGCTTGTTCTAAATCCCTACACTATAGCCCAGGTGTAGAGAAATCCGCAGGGGCAGCTGCTTAAAGGTTACCGTGTTTGTATTGGCAGGTACCCACATTCTTGTACACTCCTTAAAATTTTGTGGTTTTGCCTACAGCAGGAACAACAGAGAAGAGTAGCAAAGGGACTGATCGATCTAGTAGGCAGAGGTCCTTCGTTCCTACAGCAGCTCTGATCTTTACTGTCTTTAGCCATTTAACCTTGTCTGTAAAATGGACATCATGCTACCTGACCTGCTTATCTAAGAGGGTGCTGATGGACTGAGGAAGAACACAAGTGAAATGCAAATCTAAACGGGGTAGGATTTATGGGACTTGTTTTTAGCTCTTTGCTATCCCTCTTTTTCTTTCATTTAGCTAATTCTAGCTCAGTTCTGAATTCCTAACATTTCCCAAAATTCTACTTCAAATACAACAGGCTGATGTTAAGGATAAAGTCAGGAATATAATCAAAGATGCCATGACTTACAAACAATGATGACAGTCACCTTATTAAACGCTCACACTCACTACCACCAGCCTGCATGTTGAGCCCTACGCCTCTTCAGCAAAGCAGCCTCCTCAGTTCAAGTGCCCACTAGGGTGGCAGGACCCTGGCCTCCACCTTTCTCAGTGGCAAAGTTTGGGAGTGCAGAAGAGTCGGGCTCCTCATTTTTTAACACTTAAATCACTCTGTGCCATTATCTGTAACTATTTACTACCACTGCCTGCCTCTCATGTACCAGGTGCTTGATATTATCTTGTTCAATTTTCACAACCACCCCATGGGACAGATATCATGTTCCCTGTTTTACAAATGAGGAAAATGAGGCTTAGGGAGGTTAGAGAACTCGCATCAGGCCACAGAATTGGTCAGTGGTCAAGTGGAGATACGAACTCAGGGGTATGTGACTTCCAAGTCCAAACAATTTTCACTATACTACGCAACCTTCCTTTAAAAAATGGTAACAGCAACTGGCTTTGAACAAGGTTTGGTGACTCTACCTCATCTTAATTTCTGACATTTATAAAAGGCTTTACCATTTTTATAGTGCTTTCAACCTTTTTTTTTTTTTTTAATGCCACCCAACAAACCCTAATCTTAATTTCTTGAAATTATAAAAGGCTTTTCCATTTTTATAGTGCTTTCAACCTTTTTTTTTTTTTTTAATGCCACCCAACAAACCCAGAGTAGGGCAGAATAAAGATCTGTATCTTATTTAATAGATGAGAGAACTAAGGCCTTCAGAGTTAAGGGATTTGTCCAATGTCACATGCTAAGTATGTCACATGCTGGAAGATCTAATTTGAATTCTGATCTTCCAACTCTTGGGCGAGAGCTCTTCACATTGGTCCAAAGGTGCCTTGCTACCTCTTGATTCACAGCGATCACTAGTGAATCACCTCAAGTGCTCTGAAGGAGAGTTGGCTCAAAGCCAGGGAATGCCAGTCCCCACCAGGATGAGAGTATAGGGCTCCCTTTCAAAATGAGGCCTGGTGGGGGCAGGAGTGGGAGTGGGGCTGGGGGTGGGCTACAGTGGCCAAAAACTGATAGGCAATTTCCCCAGTACCTCCAGCGTCTTCTTCAGAGTAGAGATGTTTTCACTGCAGATTTCCACGTTGTTCAGAGTCACCTGGGAGAAGAGGACAAAGAATGAACTTCCTGCTCATCCGTGTTTGTACCCACTGCAGTGCCAGACTGGCTGACAGCTGTACTCCTGAGACTCAGATAAGGGCTGAGGAAGGCCCACAGCACTGTCACTAGGCAGGGTGCTCAGGTGTTAGATTGGGCAGAACAGTTAACCAGGTTTGCCTTTTCTCCTGTGCCTGACGCAAGGCAGCAAAGCCAACCTGACTCAAGGTTTCAAGTCTTTCTTCTCCATGTTTAGGCACAAAGGTTTGGGAAAAGTCCTGGAGATTCAAACCTCAAGTCCAGGTCAATGATGCCAAGGCTGACACTTATTAAAGAAATCCTGAGAGCCACCCAACAGGCATTTTCTCATCCATTATCTCCCTGCTCTGCCAAATACCCTCTGCAAAATGAGTAATGTCAAGCCAGCTTATGTGGGGAACAAGACTCCTCAGAAGGTGAAATGGTTCACCAAAGTCAGTTAAGAATTGATTCAGCAAACATTTACCTAGTGCCCACTATGTGCCAGGCACCAAAGAGAAAGCAATTAACTAAACAGACAAAATTCACTCCCTCACAGAGTTTACAATCTAGAAGTCAGATAATATACGTATTATATAATATCAGGTAGTGATAAACACCATGAAGAAAAATAAAGCAGGTAAGGGGACAGAAACTCAAGAGAGTGACAAGCCACAGAGCTACAGTCAGGATCAGAATTCAGGTCTCCTGAGCACTATAGGCCAAGGGCTCCTTCTCTCATAATTCAATGGACTTTTAAGCAAACTGCAGAATAGGAGATAATAAAAAGCAGCATGTGACAAAAGTGATAATTATAGCACAAACGGCTATGGCCATTTAGAGGAAAGAATAAACGTTTTAGTCTGAGGTATTCAAAGAAAGCTCCATGGCAGAGTTGTTAACTGAGCTGAACTTAAAAGGCTGGAACATAACTGACAGGAGATGAGGGTGAGTACATTTCTCTATTCCCCTAGCCTCTCAGCCCATTGTCCTGTTTGATATTTTCTTAATGGTACTTAGGATGATCTGATACAATCTTGTTTGTTTCTTGCCTGTCTTTCCCACATGAATGACAGCTCTACGAAAGCAATCTAGTCTGTCTTCTTCACTACCGCTGTGTCTCTAGTACAGCACTGTCCAACAGAACTTTTTTGGTGATGGAAATATTCTAAATCTGAGCTATCCAGTATGGTAGCCTCTAGCTACATGTGGCCATTGAGCACTCGAAATGTGGCTAGTGAAACTCAGGAACTGGATTTTAAAAATTTAAATTTAAATAGCCACTTGTGGCTTGTAGCTACCATATTGAGCAGTGCAGCTCTAGGACCTGGAATAATGCCTGGTATATAGAAGTTTGTAATAAATATTTGTTGAATGAGTGAATGAATGTATATGGAAAAGAAATATCATAAGCAAATGCAGTGGCAGAAAACCCCAAAAGGTATTCGGGGATCAGGAGAGTCAGTGCACGGACATGTGCAGGGACACAGAAAGAGGTGGAACTGCAGAGGTGGGTAAAGTCAGACTGGGACTTGGGTGCTATGCTGTCCTGTGGATAATGGGGCAGCACTAAGGATTAAAGAAAGTGAAAGCCACATGTGCACAGTTTTGGTTTGGGAATACTAACCCAGAGGCTGTGTTGTGGAGGGATTAGAGTTTGAAAGGATCACAGAACCTCTGCACTGGTATGCTGGTGGCATGACCAGGAAGGTAGCGGTGAAGTAGGGAAGAGCTAATTTTCAAGAGATGAGTCAGGAGCTTCAGGATTTCAGGGTAAAAGAAGAATCCCGAAACCCCAGAGACTGAGATTAGAACACCCCTCTTGTCTTCCCAAGAATGCTTCTGTCATCAGAGTCCTACAGCCAATACTAAAAAGTCATGCTGCTGAGAGTGTTAAGGCTGCTTTCATTGTGGATGGATAAGACTTAAGGCCTTTCATTAGCATTCTACAACACAAGGCTGCTAACATGACAAACTTCCAGGGAAAAAACTGCATTGTCATGATTGCTCAAGGATGAAGACTATAACATAAATGTTTCCAAGGCATTTATGGGCACCAAGAATAATCTGTCATGAGGGGAAAATGGACTGGGTTCAAACAGTATTGCTTTCAAAGTTTCCTTGTATCAACAGCCCTTGTAAGCAAGGACTCAATCACTGAGCTTATCCCAGCTCATGGTGAATGATACGTCAGTACCATTGGGGAATTCGTCTTGACAGATAAATGAATCAAGGTCACGTAAGAAATAGGCCCTGTGATGGAAGTGATGATGGCATCAGAAAAACTAGAAACCTGTCACCAAGCACTGAGCATCATCTTTCTTGTTGGCCTTATTATCTTCTGGGTCCTCAAACAATGAAACTGAATGGGAACAGCAAATGCACGAATGCACAGTGGCCAGCCTAATGGGGACTTGTAAAGCCAAGTAGTGGAAAACAGGACTAGAGTGGCAGGATGGGTCAGATTCAAGAGGCCTTCAACAAACCACCTGGCAAAGACATCTAGCTTTGTTGTGGTAAGTAGTAGCAAGGAGTCATTTCTGAGCAGAGAAATGAAAGAATGAAATAAGTTCTGTAAAAAATGAAATGGAGTATTCGCTTTGACAGCACATATACTAAAATTGGAACGATACGAATATTAGCATGGGCTTTGCACAAGGATGACACACAAATTCATGAAATGTTCCATATTTTGGGGGAAATGAAGCAAGGTCACGTAAGAAATAGGCCCTGTGATGGAAGTGATGATGGCATCAGAAAAACTAGAAACCTGTCACCAAGCACTGAGCATCATCTTTCTTGTTGGCCTTATTATCTTCTGGGTCCTCAAACAATGAAACTGAATGGGAACAGCAAATGCACGAATGCACAGTGGCCAGCCTACTGGGGACTTGTAAAGCCAAGTAGTGGAAAACAGGACTAGAGTGGCAGGATGGGTCAGATTCAAGAGGCCTTCAACAAACCACCTGGCAAAGACATCTAGCTTTGTTGTGGTAAGTAGTAGCAAGGAGTCATTTCTGAGCAGAGAAATGAAAGAATGAAATAAGTTCTGTAAAAAATGAAATGGAGTATTCGCTTTGACAGCACATATACTAAAATTGGAACGATACGAATATTAGCATGGGCTTTGCACAAGGATGACACACAAATTCATGAAATGTTCCATATTTTGGGGGATCATTTCATAAACTATGTAAATGTCTAACCGTTGTATACTCGAAGCTAATAAAAATTAAAATAAAAAAATGAAAGGGAATGTAAGCGAAATGAAAAATTTAAGTCAATCCACAATCACATGAAGCTGGTTAACAGACATTCTGGCAAAATTCTCCAAAGGTACCACAGTCAGAGGCAACAGTTTCTTGGAGCTGATCCTCTCTTTTGGCAACCATGACATCCCAGATCAACAGAACCCGTGCCCAAGGAAAATATTTTCAATGACAGGAAGAGAGTGGGGCTGCCTAAACAGCAGCTGGATCTGAGGACTAGTTACTGTGGGTTGCCTTGCACAGAGACAAGGTAGATATTAGTGTGTTTAGGTTTCTGTATCAGAAAGTAACAGCTCTGAACTCTTTGGGAGTTAAGAATCTGAAAAGCTAAGGACTCTGCTTCCAAAAAAATACATGTACATAGTTTTGCACCTAACCCCAGGAAGTTCTGAGACCCCATATGTGGACTGTTGATTGAGAGCTCTGCTTCTGGATGTTTCCTTCAGCCTCTGAATCTTGGGCCAAGAAGACTCAGAGTCTGGCCAACATAAGGGTGAAGCAGAGTGACTTCTGATAGTAGTTTCCACTCATGCCAAGACAGCAAGCGCCAGAGAAGCTTGACTGTGAGCTCAGGACTCAACTGTGTTTTCTGGCTCATTAAAAACTGCCCGTTAACCTCCATAAATCCTTTTATCCTTCCATGCTTCTCTTTCGCCAGCTGTCACACACTGGGAAGACTCACTCCTTCATCATATCTGTCATCATATCTCGGTAGCTCAGGGCTTTAATAAGGTAAAATTTCTGAAGAAGTTAAAAGCCTAAGAAGTATGCTAGAAAAGCAGTCCTGGTAGGTTTAAATGATTGGCACCCACCCATACTGGGGGACTGTCCCCAGAGAATCAGTCTGCAGGCTTGGCACAGATATTTCAGTTGGTTCTGTGGCAGATGTAAGCCGAACTTGATACTCAGTGGAGCCTGTTAACAGCTGGGTAGTGCTCTTGGAAATGAGTACCGGGGAGAGCTGAGACATCCAGACTTCTGGGCAGTGAACAGTGCATGTCCTGGCTCAGGCTGCTCAGAAATAGGTCCCTGGGTAAGAAATGGTTTCAGAACCTTCTAAGAGGAGCTTTCCTTAAAGGAGTTTTCCTTCTACATAGATGCTGGAGGAAAAGTCTCCAGTTTAAGGCTGATTACACTGTAGCTTAGAGGTCATAGTTTAACTTCCTGAGATAAACCAACCCAGCAGCCGGCAGCTGGGGCTACGTACCAGGAAGGACAGCTTGGCCTCGTCAGTGCTCTCAATGCCTTTTGTGTCAAATTTGCCTTGTTGGAGGCTGCTGTGCATGATGTTCACAGCACTTGTCACCCCACGCTGGATATCCTGTAAGGTGGTGGCTGGGAAGCCCATCCGCAGCTTGTTACACAGAATGTCCCTGCGGGGAGTGGGCAAAATGGTACATAACGATTGATGGGAACTAACAGTGCTCAACCTGGCCTTCAGGACAGCAGGAGCAGAGGGCCCACTACCCTGACCCGGCAGCACAAATTCCTCTTTTAGGAGAATAACCAATCCTTGAGACCACTGTAGGAGACCTTGCGCAGCCCAGTAAGGCATGAAATCCTAAGGGATGGAATCTCCCTAAGCCCTAGTTTCCTCATCTACAAATCGGAGCTAATAGTTCCTACCTCACAGGGTTATTAGGACTGAATAAGAGCAGATTGGCTTAGTGCCTGGCCTGTAGCAATGGTAAGTATGATAGTTAATACTACAACTACAGCTTTCATATGAACTACCTGTTCTCTTTCCAAGGTCTGAGGACCAATGACCCTTCTCATCTAGTCCAGGAAATGTAGACTTGGCCTATAAGGTATCTGGCTGCTATGCAGCTATGTGGAGCCAAGGATGTTGTGCTGTAGATGGGAGCTTATATCCTGTATAGAACTGAACTAGTATGAGAAGGAAAAAAAGGAAGAAACAAGTGGGCCTCAGGAATTAATAACTTTTAGGAACTTTCTGCCTTCTGAAAAGGAGAAAGGACATCAACCATACCTGAAGTCAGACTCCAGTTCTGTGGTGGCAAGGTTGATCATAGCACAAAGACAGTCGATGCTGGAGCTAGACAGAGCCCGCCCAATGCACTTCTTGACAATGTAGAAGACATCGTCCACCATGCTGGATGTCAACTGGCCCTTCTCATAGGTGTCCAGAGCTACAGCCTACTCAAAAGGCAAAATACCCAATAAGGGCCCCAGTTCTACATGTCCAAGATAGTTCTCGAACAGTCTCTGGTTCTGCTTCCTTTTCTATACCTTTTTCATGTTTTTTCCCACATGGCTTATTCTGGTCACAGCTTGGTGTGGATACTCCTTGTTAAAATAGCTCATTTCCCTATCTATAACTATATTACGAAATTAAGTATTTAGGGCCTTTGCCTTGAAGACAACTGTTACCTGGGATGTAAGACATCAGGAGAGGCCCTTCTTCCCTGAGACTCCTCACTTACATACTTCCAGAAAGGCAGGGAACAAGTAGGCTCCCTGAAGAGCTGAGGTGTTCCTTTTTGATCCTTGGGAAAGAAGTCCCAGCTGGGTCTACAAAGAGCATGACAACTGCAAAGCATAACAACTAACCATACCAAGTGGTGTCACTCAGTCTGCATGCAAGGGTATTCCAAAGCAGGACCAAGAAACATGACATGCCTTGACCATTTCCTTCAGTCTGACTTCTTGGACAGAAAGCCCATTTCCAAGGGATGGTATCCTCTGTCTTACCTTATTGACAGTCTCCCTCATGAAGTACTCCTCCATGGTAATATATAAGCCAATTAGCTCCTGCATGGTGCAGCTCAGTAAGCAATTATTGAGCAGTTGGTCCAGACACTTCTGGTGCTCTAAGGGACAGCCAAGAAAGAATACTCACTTTTCTGCCTCAAGGGAAATAGATCAACCTTTTTTATTTTTTCAGGTTCTTTTCTAGTCTTTATTCCAAACCTGCACATAATTCACATGGTTATAATCATAGTACAGGTATAATTTTGTACTGTGCTTTTAAAAATTAGGATGTTTTCAATGTTTCTACAGTTTTTTTAGCTCACTTATTTTTAATGTCTATGATATTTTATCCAGTAGACAGTCTAAATTTTTAAAAACTATTCTCCTATTTTTAGACACCTGAGTTATTTCCAAATGTTTTGTATTAATAGAGATAATTAGAGATCGTAGTAATTAGAGATTGTAGTGAACATTTTTGTTCAAAGAACTTTTTACCTCTTTTCCATTATTTTCTAAGACTTAATTAGTAAGACTCAAAAGATGTAAGTTTCCAGGGTAAAGGCTGAAATATACTGGGTATAAAACATTTCATTCTCTAAACCAGTACTGTCCGATAGAATTTTCTGAGATGATAGAAATGTTCTTATCTGTGTTGTCTAATATGGTAGCTACTATTGAGCAATTGAAATTGTGGCTAATATGAATGAGACACTGAATTTTTTATTTTATTTAATTTTAATTAAATTTAAATAGTTACATGGGGCTCATACCTACTGTATTAGACAGCACAGCTCTCAACAGTGACAGTTATTAATAATAATGAGCACCAAGTGAACATACATCTTCCATTAAATACCAATTCAAAGCAATGCCATCTGGGCCATATAACTAATTGCCCTGCCATGTGTTACCGCCAAAAACCATGCAGAATGCCACAGATACTGGGTTGGTTTCAAGTCTCTAGTTCAGGGAATTCTGAAATCCTTGCCCAGCAGGAA